TCACCAATGTCTTGGGAGGGGGTGGGTTTTCGTTCTTCCATTTTTGTTTGTTCGCACTCTTTAAATGTTGAAAAGTTATTGGTGGAAAAAAAAAAAAAGCATTGACCTGTTTTCTTTCCAGGAGTTATGCATTTTAAGGAAGTGACTCGGGCTTGATTTTGATTCAAATCCACTGTGAAGCTTAGTCTCATCATGATACACAAACACCCTAAACACGGTAGCATTCAATGAATGAAGAAATGTTAGTTCTCTTTCTCTGCACCTTTATAGCTTGTGACTAAACATCACCTTATTTTTATCTGAAACTTAATTGTCCACATTAAATTGACTCCAGATTGTTTCTTTCCTCCCTTTGAGCCTTACATTGTCCTCAGGTACAGTTAGGCAGCTTTATTTTCGAACGATGGTTTTCAGAATTTCTGAGTATTTTTTAAACCAACAATTTATTGAACCTCCATATGATAGTGGTAGATTCACATATTAAGAAAATACATCACATGCCTTTTCCCCAGCCCTGCAAAGACTACTTACAATGCCCACCTAATCAATCCCTTTGGAATAAGTTATTGAAGTCCTTCTGTTAAGGAGCAACTCTTTTTCTGGGAAGGGGGCATTTTCAAACCATAATCAGTCATAGACACTTTAGCTTGAACTAGTCGGCTAGATTATTGGTGAACTGAATGATCTAGGTTGCCATCTAACAGGAATATGAGGGAGCGAGAGACAGGGATGGAGATCTTGTGGTGCTGCAAGAAAGTTCTGTTTCTTGTGGAGTCTGGTAACCATCCTGGTCAACCAGAGAAAATAATGGAACTGTGGGGTGAGTGCCTGAGAGATGCCAGCACTGCTTTTAATGGATTCACAGGAATGATCTGTGGTTAATGTGTCAATGCACCCTTCTCAGTAAAGCTGCTTTCTCTTATATCACTTATCTCTGAAGCCAACTGTTACTGCCTTAGTCATGTTGTTCTCCTAAGCAGGCCAATGTCTCCCTTGCACTCTTACTTACACTGCTCATTTGTGACTGCCTCAGGGTCCCCCAGCTCTGGCTCCAGCTGTGGCCCCTGCTTGGTGTGGCTGGCCTTGTTTGGAGCCAGACATGTAGTTTCAGATCCAGGGACACCTTGGACTTTCTCTTGATTCCTGCCCAGCCTGCCTTTGCCAGGTACTCTCTTCGGTTCCTCTTTGTCTCATACTCTGCAGGCGTGGGGTCTGCCCTAAACATGCCTGAGTCAGAGTTCCAGCCCCACATTCACCTGCCTGGAGTGGGGGACAGAGCAGGAAGGACTACTCTTCGCTACCATGGTCCCTAAATAATAGTGACGTAAACAGGCTTGCTAATGGCATACGAAGAAAGACAAAAAGGAGATTCAAACTGAAGTTGGGGAGAGAGTACGGAGATGATGACTATGAGATCCTGCAAGATGAGGGAACTACAAGGTCAAGAACTCAAACTGAGATCTTCTCAGGAATCTCCTACCATTCTGATCAGCAGCTAAGGTTGGGCCTAATGGTTCAGTCTGACGCGGCTGTGCTGCTGTGGGTTCCACTCTTTTCCAAAAGACCTGTAGGCGGTGGTGTGCTAGGGTTGGTCAATTATTACATTTTCAGGAATTTTGCAGTCTAGTTGCTAAACACAGCCATTAGCCATTATTCAAACTTAAATTATATACAATCATTATATAAATTATATACAAATTATTATATACAAGCTAGAAGGATGGACAAATTCTTAGAAAAGTACAATTTCCCAAGACTGAACCAGGAAGAAATAGAAAATATGAACAGACCAATTACCAGTAATAAAATGGGATCAGTAATTAAAAAACTTACAACAAACAAAAGCTGAGGACCAGGGAAGATGGCGAGACGATAACAGGCTGGTGAGAGTGGGAGTTAGTGCTGGACGAGAACAGGTATATATATTTTTCCGAGTGGAGAATTATGTCTTAAAGTCAGGGTATAGTTTAATTAAAAAGAAAAAAAACTACCAACAAAACCCCCCCACATATTGAGTTTATAAGGGCTAGATTTGATCCCAGCGCTATTGTTTATTCGCCATGTTTCTAAGGGCAAGCAAAGCAAAGTGCTTTACTTTGATACAAGTTTTTCTCAGCTCTAAAATAGAGATTGCAATGCCTGCTCCATCTCCCTTACAGTGTTTCTTTTTTTTTCTTTTTTTTTTTAATAACTGCTTCATTTTTTGTTTAATTCAAACCAATAATTATTATTTAATTAAACTTCATTTGGAGACAAATGTACATGAAAGTTGTAAGAAATAATACAGAGAGATCCCATGTAGCTTTCATCCAAGTTCCCCCAGTGGTAACATCTTGCAGAACTCTAAAAAACCATCAAAACCAGGATTTTGACATTGGTATAGTCAAGACATGGAACTTTTCCATCACCACAAGGACCCTTTGTGCTGTCCTTTTATAGCCGCAGCCACTACCCTTCTGCCTCCACCCACTTCTTTTTTTTTTTTAACATTTTTTATTGATTTATAATCATTTTACAATGTTGTGTCAAATTCCAGTGTTCAGCACAATTTTTCAGTCATTCATGGACATATACACACTCATTGTCACATTTTTTTCTCTGTGATTTATCATAACATTTTGTGTATATTTCCCTGTGCTATACAGTGTAATCTTGTTTTCCCTTACAGTGTTTCTGTAAATCAAAATGAAATAACTGGCGTGAAAGTGTTTTATAAAGATGCCATAAAGCTTCACAGTTTTATAGATGTTGATAAATTCTTTGTTTATTCCTAACATGAGTCTTTTTTCTTTAATAGCAAAAGCAAAACAAACAAAAACAACACCCATGCAACACAGAATTATTCCTGCTAAGAGAAAGCCACCTAATGTGTTTCTGAAGGAAAAAAAAGACTAGATTATATACCGTTAACACTCACTTTATTCATGTCTTTGCTTAATTTTATATTCCTAGAAATAAATCTAGTTATCTTTGATCATGCTAGTTATATATACTTAGATGGTTTGTAACTGGAATAGTGTTTTGCCAATTAAGTAATGGGGAAGAAGCTATTTGTATTGAGAAGGCTATAAACCAAGAGTTCTGGTACTATAGAATTAGTGATTTAAAATAAAATTTCTTTCTGCTGGGAACACAAATGACACTAGACTGACTGGTTGCCAATCAATGAAACTGTCTCCACCAAGGTTGGTTAAGGGCAGTTGCAGCCTGCAGAGCAACCACCTAGAAGGCCATAATTTCCCATGAGGTGAGAGTAAGATGAGAGACTAAAATAATTATTAAAGCAACATTTAGACACATAAATACCCAAGCTTCTATCTGTAGCTAAGCAGCAAGAGTAGGCCACTTGAGTTCAAAATTAAATCGTGAGGGGTGTATACAGTTTATTTAGTTGGAGAAAAATAATAATCACAGAGCTGATTCACAAGGTTTATGACTCACAGATAATTACTGTTTTGTTGTTCTAGGAAGCAGAGAAAAAAGAAGTGGCACATCTGGGAACTAACAAAGATATGACCTTGAAGATTTCTTTGGATCTTTCACACTTTGTTTTATTGCCAAAAAGTGGAGAGACCATCAGCTAAGGGCTTTGGAATTTTCCTAATTGCTCTGGTAGCAGCTGGCTTGCAGTTATTACTGGTGCTTTGGAGACGACCAGATGTCTAGATTTCAATCAGGCTTGCCATGATTCATCTCTGGGAAGGAATTCAACAGGATTTTGAAAATCCAGAAAGCAGAAGTGGAGAAAACCCTTTCTGAAACTTCCCTCGAATTCCCCAGAATTCAGTTCTTTTGAACCAGCTCCTGAGTTCTGACTAGAAGTGAGATGATTTACCTAAAGGTTATTATTCAGGCTTTCTCAAGAGCAGCTGCATAGACCTTTGCTCTGGGCAAAGCAGAGTCTTACTGGATAACACAGTGCATTAGGGAGCATGATTCCTACAGTCAATTACAGTTTCACGATTGGTTAATTGTGCTATTGTTGGTTACCTTTAATATTTTATTGAAACTCTCCATAGCATTCATGAAACATTATTTTTTGAGGGCTCACAAGGTAGACAGCCCAGTACCAGAAGCTGTGTTAGGATCTGTTGGTTTGTAGACTTTAGTATAGGTACTTGGTGAGGAGCATTAAGGAATGCAGAATTACCTTATAAATTAGCTTTTATCTATCAAGAATATTTTATTAGTTAATCCCAGGAAACTGAAGTCATTGCAATAATGTGTATAATAACCCATGTTTTCTACTCTTGGTATCTGATGCTTTGACATCTGAGGCCTTGCTGACTCTTGAAGGACTGCCCCTCCCAAGATTAGCTAACTCCTAGAGATAGCAAAAAAATTCACCTTTCATATGCCAACCCACCAATCCAGAGCCCTTACCACCAGCCTTCATCGGCCTGTTACATTCCAGGCCACTAGCTCCCAGCCCTAATCACAACAGGGCCACGTACCAGACAACTAGGGACAGACCCTATGCCCCAGGGCCTTATTATTCAATTATTCAAACTTGCCAATCCTAAACCTGCTTACCCTTGTCTCCCCCATTCCCTCCCACAGAAACCACAATAAATGTTCTTGTCCATGTCTTTGCCTTGCTCCTTTTGCCTCCTGACCAACCCGGGAGCTTCCCCATGTGGCTCTGCAGGATGCACTGGGCTTCTATTTCTAGGGTTATGTGGATATTAAAACTGTCTTCCTTCATGACAGTCATTTCTGTGTCTATGTGTCTTACTGCACCCAAATAAAACAAAACCTGGGCACCCTTTTATAAGAACGTGTTACTCAACAATGAAGAAATCAAGCATAAAACATTTAGGTAGTCCAAGATCATGAGGTTCATCAGAAAAATAATTACTCCCTACCTCAAAGTTTATTAAGTCAATCTTTCACTCAAAAATAATGATTGAGCCCTCCCTATGTGTAAGGAATTCTGCTAGGGGATGTAAATCCACATGGGGATAATGGAAACAAAAGAGACAAAGCATAATACACCCCAGGAATTTCTCTATTTACTTTTAATTCAGACTTGACATTTCCTCTGAGTTTTCCTATTTGGAGCCCTCTCTATTTACCTACTGTAACCTTCTTTCTGCTCCCCTGCCTTCTGTCTTCCCAAATTAGCACTGCCCTGCTTACCTTCCTCCTCCCTGTAGCAGGCGTCTCTCACACCATGGTGCACCTGCTCCCACGGCTGACATGCCCGTAACAGACCCCTCATTGGTAGCATCACATGTCACCTAACGCCTGGCTAAGCAAGCTGTGTATTTCACATTGCGAACAATGGATAAGTAATAGAATAAGGAACTTGGCCAGTGACTTGTTTTTATGGGCATTTAAGCCTTGCTTATTTATAACTGAGAGGTAGTATTATTATCAGAAGTGAGTACAAGGTGAAGAAAAGTTCAGAGACTACCAAAGAAAGGTGCCTATGGGAACATTTATCATCTTCTCTGTATTCCTGTACTGATGCAAACCTTGAGTCTCTTAACATATAACTGATACACAAGGAATCGCATATGCAATAGGTTAGTGGGGCCCTAGACAAGCTGAACTGTGAAAAATGATCATCTCTGCAGTACAAAGGAGACAATACCTCAAAAAGTCAAGGTATTGGTCAAGACATAGATCTGAACAGAGACTTGACAAATAGTGCCTGAATCAAGAAAGGGGCTCACATTTCTTACACAAGCAGAAATCTGACACTAGGCAATCCAGGGCTGATGCGGGTCCTCAAACACTCAGGCCCCTACTTTTCTGTTCTGTCATCCTTAGCTTTTGACTTTTATCCTTATGGCCACAAGATAGGTGTTACCTTTCCAGTCATCATATCTAAATTCCTGGAAGAAAAAAGAAAAAAAGGAAAAGAAAAGAAGCTATTTCCAGCTGTGCCTGACCAATTTTATCAATCTTGAGACTTTCCTGCAAACTCTATCCAGTAAATTTCTACTTATAGCTCTTTGAATATATTATGTCACTCGGCCACAGGATCCTGGAAAAATTGAATTAAGGAAAAAAAATCCTTCGGTTTTATTTCCTCCACTGCAAACTGAGTTTTTGTTAGCATGGAAGAATGAATGAAAGATGGAAATTAGTAGTCAAAATCTCAGTTTCTGCCAGTTTTTAACAAAAACCAAGTGACGGACCTCCAGGTAGGTTCAAATAATGACAGCAGTATAGCTGGTTGATTCTGCATATATCCTCCCCTAACAATACAAACAGCAGAAGGAAAAAGTGAATTTATGTGCAAACCACATATTTAGCACAGACTGAAGACAAAGAATGTCCCAGATTTGCAGATATACACTACTATATATAAAACAGACAAATAACAAGGACCTACTGTATATCAAAGGGACCCATATTCAGTATCTTGTAATAACCTATAATGAAAAAGAATATGGAAAGGAATATTTGTATGTTCACATATGACTGAAGCATTATGCTGTACATCAGAAATTGACACAACACTGTAAACTGACTATACTTCAATAATTTAAAAATATATATATATATTTTATATATATATATAACAAACTACAATCTAAGACATCTTTCTACAGTGAAAAAAGACTTATGTCTACACATTCAGAGAGTTCACTGGGTGCCAGGAAATATTAATCCAGAATGATCAAACTCTAATACATCTTCTAGTCAAACTATAAGATTTCAAAGATAAATATAAACACTAAAGGCCTCCAGGCAAAAAGACCAAACAACTTACAGAGACAAAAAGAACTCGACTGGCATCAGACATTTCAAAACCAACATATAAAGTAAGATAACAATAGAAGAACCTTTTAAAAAGGTTCCATACAAGGAAATGTGAAACAAGTATTTTATATCCAGCCAAGCTGTCCTTCAAATATCAAGCATGTAGAAAAACCAACACAGAACTTAGGAAATTAGGTATCCATCAGTCCTTTTTTGAGGAACTTACTAGTGGATAAGTTTCATGAGATTGAATGACGATCAGAGTATCTTGAGCAAAAGGACTGATGGCAAACATTTAAAAATACGTAAGTGCACATCTGAAGCTCATACAGAAGTAGCAGTGAGGATAGAGGACAAACAGGCAAATGTTACATGCTGTTAGATAACAGAAAAATTGTTTCAGTGACTGAGTCACTATGCTGTACACCAGAAACTAACATAAAATTGTAAATCAGCTATACTCCAATGTTTTAAAAGTGAGACCTTAAAAAGTTGTTAATTTTTGTGTATAAAAATGAAAAATTGTTTCAGAATTTAAAAGTGATAAAATAAAATCCATGACTGCTTTAAATCTGTCACAAATGAAAATGAAAGTATCCTTATGGGAGGCAGGCAGCAGGAGCATTTCAGAGTTCAGTGCTGTATGGCTCTGGAAGTGAAAAGCCAAAAAATGGAGAAGCATAGGAAATACGACCAGAAGAACTGCTCTAAGACAAATCTAATAATAATATCACAGAGTGGAACAGAGGCCATAGGCGTTGGCTCTGAATGCAAATTCCTAGTCCACTTGGTGAACGAGCCAAGTCTGTCGGCCACATATCAGTCACTGGGGCCTTGTCAGAACTGGCCCCAGAGCAATGCTGGCCACCCTAAGTACAGTGTGTATCTCAGTTTCTCTACCATCTGTTCCAGCTTGCCAACCTACTCATCCTCTCCCCGACATTGTAAGATATCTTCCCAAGAGAATTCAAGCACTGTCAGCAAAACTTGAGGTTTTATTTTATTTTTTTAAATCTCTGCTCTTAAACATGGAGGTGGCAATTTTGCAATTTCACATGATATGGATTATCTGAAAATATTATGCACTATGTTATTAGTCATTTATAACCTATAACTGTGGACAACCTATCCTTTCTTTTTCTGTTTTTAGATATAAATACAATTTTAAAGTGTCCTTATATTTTCTCCCTTGATTATGTTCCAAAACTATTTGCACGGACTGAATTGTTCTAACTTTTAAGATTCAAACTCATCAGGCAGAGACTCCTTTGCTTTTAAGGTCACTAAGTGAACAAAAAGCAAAAAGTATCCAAAATGTCACAGGATTTTTCATATTCACCCCCAGGAATCCTTCCCTTCTGCCTTTGAGCTTTGCACTACTGTTTCTCTAGATCAACTACTTTAAAGCTTAAAGATAGACTTTTTTTTTAATGTTAAAAGATGTTTTAAAAGCTTGTCAATTTTACATAGATATTAAATACAAATTGCCATGACCTAAATTTTTCATGTTGATAGGTACAAACTATACAGTATAATCTAGGATTTCTAGGGTCGCTCAAAGAAAACATTCCTATAACATGGACTATCTACAAGAATAATGGCAATTATGATTTAGAATTCCAAAATTCCCTCTCCCCACTTCATTGTAATGGCTCCATGTGGATGGATTACAGTGATCTTTAGATGTCCTATGTGGTATCTGCACATTTCAGTGATCAAAGTAGGGATAGGCAGATGTGGAAATCAGTTTTGATTTTCTCTCACTTTGCAGCGTTTCCTCACTGTTGACAACTTCTTTGATGCCCAGAGGACTCTTCTGTGAGGAAAGGAATGCTCACCACTTGTACTATGTTTAAAGCCTAATTTATAAACCTTTAGATAATTAATATATGTCCAAATACTCACACATTACTAAAATGACTTATAAAAGAAAACTTCATAAATTTAACTAATTTTCTGTATGTAAACACTGATGCTAAACTTAACGTTTTTTCAATCAACTGAAACCACAAGTCTGATATATTAAATATTCTTAAATGTTTTCAACACATTTTAAAAAATATTATATATGACAATGATTACAAGAGTGATGAGTACACTTCGTTACAAAAGCATACTTAGATTTATTTTTAAATTGTCTTTATGTTCTTGTTCTTTTTCACATTTACCTCTCACACTCTTTAAGGTTATGGAAGGGGCTGACAGCCTTTCTTTCAGGACTTGAGATGTGTGTGCTGAAGTGACTTGCCTGAGTCCATCAACTAACTGGATAAGCTTTTCGTGCAGTTGGACTTTATCCATTGCCTTAGGAGCTAAAAATAGCTGAAATTATTGACTTTGATCCATCAGATATGCTTTGAATTTTTTTTAATGACCTAATCTTTCTTCCCAAATGGCTGAACTTCATAGTAAAGGTGATAAAAATATACTTCCCCACTCTGTTTTGGGTATCTTTTTAAAAAAATACAGCTTTATATGTCTTCCTTGCAACTGTTGTTCTGAGTTTCTTTTTTTAAAATCATACAATGTAGAAGAAGTCTATTTTGCAACCACTTGTTTTGAGTCATTCTGACCTTGTGAGTGAAATCTAAGGCCTTTGCACCACTTTGTTTTCTTTCTCACCAACCACTGAGATGTTGGATTTTTTCATCTTTAGATAGCAATATTATAAATAATTATAAATTATAAATAATTGATATTTGATCACTGACATGAATAGATAGTAGACAGATAATTGCAATGATAAAATTTCTGTTCTTTAGGAGTTTTCATACCAAAATAGCCAAAATAGATTGGAATATATTCATAAGACAATGCTTTTGTTTTTTCTCAAACTCAATATTGTTAGGCCTCAGTTGCTTCCTGAGGGGATAATAATATTTCCTCCATCTATTTTCAGGGCGTCATTATAAAAATTTATGAGTTGAATTAGTGGCTGTGAAAAGCCTTTCGTAGACTACTGTCCACATTATTGTATTTGCTTTTTGATCTAGTGCATACTGATGATGTAATTAAACCAATAAATCTGGACACAAATGAATAGTAAGGGGTAATTACATCCCTCTGTGTCTTTGTGTCTGTGATAAACACGACTACAGAAGAGAAAGAGAAGAGGCAGTGTTTCTGTCTTAGAAGGAAATTCTGCTGTCACCCTCAGGATATTCCCAGAAAGTTAAAAGGAAAGTAAAGACAAGTAACACAGTAAAAAAACTTCAATATATTTAAGAGGGGAGGGGAAAAAGATAAATATAAACTTGGAAAATGATGGATTCTCAATAAATGTTTACTTCATAAATGAACAAATTAATTGCATAGGGTAGCAGAAAGTCAGTAGCTTAGCTTAGCTTAGCTTTTATTATTTCTTTGGAAAACCTTGAGACATAAGCACAATGAATTGGGTGAGGCGGGCATATTGATAAAGAGAGTTTATCTGATTTTGAAAGAGATGAAAATGACTCTTGGAACGCTGGCCTAGCCATGGGAAAGGGCCATTCCCACTCTGCTTCTGCTCACGAATGGGGCCAAGCCTTCGAAGTCAAGCCTGCCCCAAAAGAGCAGTCTGGCACAAAGCAGGGATGACCCAGACCAAACCAAGACACCAAAAGTGCTGTCACAAAAAACGTGCCTTAAGATTCCATCAGAAGTTGGTTTAGGAGAGTTTACCATCTGGGTAAAAGCGAAGCCAGTAAGAGATCCTCAGATGGACTGGTTGGCTGATATGACCCCAGATACTGAGCCTTCCGCTGCTATCCTTATTCCACCTGAACTGGGGACAGAAATGATGGTTCTCAACAAGGACAACGTCTCATCAAGGGATGTAGTTTTCCTCAAAATCAGCTGCAGCAGAAATTACTGAGGTGAGAATTACTAAATTGTGTGACTAATATATGTATTTCCCTCCTAGGTACCAGTTGCACTGTCCTGTCTACAACAAGCATGCTGTCTTCCCAGGGAGAGAAAAGACTAATGTACACAACTGGTTAAAATGATCAAGCATAGGATGAATAAAATCAGTTCCTATTTTTAAAAAAAGATAGGTCTGCAGAGAGAAAGACAAATGTGGATCCTTCCCAGAACTATTAATTTATTTTATTGTATTTTATTTTACTTTCTTTTATTTGTAATCTTTAAAAATTTTTTTTTTGGTAGAGGAGGTAATTAATGATTTATTTAATGGAAGTACTAGGGATTGAACCCAGGACCTTGTGCATGCTAAGCACTCACTCTACCACCTTACTTTTTTATTGAAGTATAGTCAACTTATAATGTTGATTTTATATTTTTTTTGTCTCTGAATCAGCTGAGACCTTCATTTCAGACATTCTCCAGCCTTTTCAAGCTGTTTAAAGTTTAAAATTAGCATCATTACATCAGAACAAAATCTCTTGCTAAGTTACTTTATGTTTTCAGAAGTTGTATTCTTATCCATGAATCATCAACTAGCTTTTTGAGATGACATAGCTTCTTCCCTCCACTCCTCACCAACTAAATTTGGTTTTGGTTTGAGGGTTCTTTTCATAGTCTGAATGTCAAGCGTATCTCCAAAATTCCACAGCTATTAAGGCTTTGCAGTTTAAGATCATGACCCAGAAGGCTACTGAGACCTTCCTATATTTTGCGTTTGTTCCACTGTGATAAATGTTTTTCATTTTTGGAGAGCATAGCAAGTAGCATTCATACTTCCTCAGGCAGGAACAAAAATTCAAAGATTTTATTAGCTGGGGTACTAATATGCTCTGTTCCATCTGTCTTTGCATACTTCCTTTCCAGGGTATTTGTGAGATGTATTTTTTATTTTTTGATTTATTCTGCCTTTACAGTTCAGTTGTCTGGCTGGGCTTTGAAGTCTATGGAAAAACCATTTTTCTTTAGAATGTGAAGAGAAGTCTCAGGACAACAGGTCCAGAACAAATGGGTCTAGACTGAAACAAAAGGACAGAGGCCTCGAGGAATAATATTGCGAAGTGAAAAATCATCTGAAGTGTTCGAGCTTTTGGAAAAAATTGTTGCCTATGCATTTCACAGCTCTGTTAAAGCACTTGGAGAACAATACAGGTACACAAAAAATTAAACTTTAAAGATCCAATTATTAACTCCAGAGAAGACAGAAAGTTATACAAGAAAGGTAGCAGTATCAGAGTGAAATACTTGGCCTAGCAATGACTAATATTTAGTCAAAATAGGGTAAATACTGATTTTGGATTTAACCCAAAATTACATAGCTTAGTTAGGAGGATGAATTATTTTTTAGAAGGTGGAGGGTGTAAGAGGGCTCAACCACTCTAAGTCTACAGATCTGTATTTAGGCAACAAATCATGACGGGTCACTGTAAGAATGGCAGTCATATAAGTTATCAGATGGAGATGCTTTCGAGAGTGAAGGGAACCACTGGTAATAATTATGCTGAGACAACAGATGTAAACTGGAACTGATGAGGAAACTGGGCATGTGGCCACCCCACTTACAGGCACAGGATTATAACGTAGAGGTAAACGCCAGATGAGCCAGCTCATCAAGTGATAAGTGGCTGTCTCCAGGAGTGGGGCTAGTGGTGGGGAGAGTAGGAGAGGAGGCTGCTGACTTTTAATATGTCTTTTAGTACTAGTTGATTTAAAACAGTGATTATGCATTATATCGATAAACATAAAAATCACATTTGAGAGCATTTTAGTCTTGCCTAATGTTTTTTAATATGAACTAAAATGTCCCTGACTGTCAGCAAGAGGCCATCTGAGTTCTCTTGTAGTATTTAATGGCCTATACTAGTCATTTGATGCTTCCTCCCTCTAAGAAAGGTGCAATTGGATAGTAGGTAATATGTTCTATTTGTCTCTGACATATGGCCTCGGCACAAAGTAGGTGTTTATTAAATACGTGCTAATGAATAAAGCAAAATTCCGTAATATTTTCAATGGCAGAAGAACCTTCTGGAAACCAGGTTTATCTGACCATATTCCCCACTACTGGTGAAACGGTGAGCCAGGCTTACCCCGAGTGTCTGAGATCCACCAGAGAAGGATCCTGCAGACAACTTGGAGGAGGGAGACCTGCGTATAAAATCCAGTTCTACAGCACAGAATATAAAATTCTGATGCTCTTGCAGGGATCCCTTTAAGACAATAGTACCTAAAATGATAATAATATTATTAATTAATGATAGTGAAAATTAACAAACAATTAAATTTTCAGAAATCACAGGCTGCACTGTGTGCCTTCATGGATGAAGGGTTTTTTGGTTTGTTTTTTGTTTTTTTTTACTGCAGCATTGATGCCTGTTAGTTTGTAACATCCCCAAATTTTCAAACCCCAAGAGTCTTTTCTTTGCTGTCATTTGAAGGACAAGATGAAATCCTGGAGAAAGTGAGAACTGGAAGTACTTGCATAACCTAGTGTCCTGTATGTCCCAGGAGGGCTTGGTGCAGTGATGACCACCAGAGGGTGAACAACTAGATCAGAGTATCTGCAGCAAAAATAGGACCAATAGGTCATTAAATTGCAACTCACTGTTTCTGAACATATTTGTCCTGTGAATTGAAATTATTATGGGGGAAAAGTAGAGAGAGGAAAAAAATGGGACTGGAGACAAACGAAACAAGATAGAAAAGAGGGCAGTAACAGATATATCTATTGGAAACCAGGTTGAAATTAGAGTATCTAACCTGATCTTACTAACTTTTTAAAAGGAGGATTCTCTGCCAAACACACACAAAACATACCAAAAAACACTCTCCTTAATCTGAGACCACATTTTTTTCCTCAGTGCTCAAGAAAGCATTTATATCAGGTCCATTCTTCTTAGTAGAGTTATTTTGCGAAGATTTCCTTGACCCCCCCCATCTCTACCCCAATCCACCAAATTCAGGCCAAGTGCTTCTCCCACAGCATCCTCAGCCACAGCCTTCATCACTCATATGTAATTGTGTGTTTCCTTGTCACCATCTCACTAAATTGCAAGCTTTGGGGAAGGACCCTTCTATTTTATTCATCACTGAACGCCCTCTGCAGTGCTTGGCACAAACTGGATGCTCCATCAATATTTGCTGAATAAATTAATTATGCTAATTTTTTAAACTTTGTATCTACAGGAGCCACTGTATCTGGAAACAACACGGGCTCACTGAGGTCTAGACTCAGACAATAAATTTGTGAATTTGGCAACAGTCAAAGCTCTCTAGCCAGAGGGAACAAGACAGTCAGTACTGTGACAGCCTGTAGATATTTCTCCCAGCTTAGGAGGGCTTAAGGCAGGTCTAGGAGCAACTACAAAGGGCCCAGGCCAATTATACAAAGGAAAAACCTGGGATTAACTTCAGGCACTGACACTTCTCTTCCTTTTCAGTGACTGTTCTCTCATTGCCTAAACTGTGAAACAACTCGGGGGAAATATAAATTCCAGCAAGAAACAGTATAGATCCTTCTCCTGGCAACAGGCTTAGTGAGTCTGGCTTATTTCTGAGCTGGTATGTGCTCCCTGGATATTGTGAGCTCTATTGTTTCAGACTGTAATAGCCGGGAGAGTTTTTCCCTCTCTCTGGTAAGAATTCCATCACAGTCATTTAGATTAGCTACTGTATTTAATTTATTGGGGAACGAGGTGGGGGCCCCAGGGGAAAAGAGTCAAAAGAAAGTTAGGTAATGCTCTGAACCAGGAACAATGGCCTTATTTATTATGTAATGTGCCCCAATTCCAATGAAGGTGACACTTCCAGTCAATACTAGCAGAAATGTACATTATGGGGTTTTGTTTTACTGATCAGTTTTGACTTTTCTGTTGTTATAGTGGAAATAGAATCGTACAAGTCTATTAAGGTTGCTTTTCCTGATTCCCTCTGTGATACCTGGCACACACCTGGGGGACAGTAGCTCCCAACTTCCTAACTGTGGGGGATGAATCTGAATCAGCGCCAAGTCCTGGACCCGACTCTCAGCTGCTGTTACTTACTCAATGGGTATTTGTTGAACACCTGTGATGGGGCCCAGCATTATCCTAAGTACTGGGAAAACAACAGTAAATGAAAGAGGGATTCTGTTTCAGTTGAGCAAAATAGACAATGAACATCAAATAAGTATATTACATAGAATATTTGAAGGTGATAAGCAATAGAAAGAGAAATCAAGAAGACAAGGAGTGTAAGCGCGTAGGCTGGGGGTAGTCACAATTTGAAGTGGGGAAGTACCGTAGACCTCACTGAAAGATGGCATTGAGCAAAGGTGGTGAAAGTGGGTTGTAAAGGCATCTGGATGAAGAGAATCCGGCCACATGGATGCCCTGAGGTGGGCGCCTGGCCGGCATGTTGGAGGAACGGCAAGGCCTCTGTGGTTCAGATGGAGAGAGTGGGGTGGGGAGGGGGGGTGCAGAAGAGGAGATGAGATTAGAGAGGTAATGGGGCTCAGATGGCACAGGAGCATTGGAAGCCACTGTAAGAACTTTTACTGTAGAAGGACTGGGGAGCTCCTGGAAGACTGTGAGCAGAGGAATGACTTACCCGATTTGTGTTTGAAAGTCTGGTTGTGTTGAGAATGGCCACTAGGGAGTATGGCGGAGATGACCAGCAGGTGACCCAAACCCATTCTCCTTCTGCCACAGTGTAGAGTTGTCACTGGAAGCCGCTGGCCAGCCAGGAACCCTAGTTGCTGCCCCTCTTAGCATGCAGTGTGGTGGTATATCTCAGAGACAGCAGGGCGGCTGTCAGCCTGAGAACTGAAATGGCTGGGTGGTAGAGAGCTGCTTTCAAGATCTGGACCCAGCCCTTGACTGTTACATAGAAAAAGAAAGAAACTTTTTGTTCTTTAAGCTGTTGAGTTGAGGGGGTGGTTACATTTGTTACAGCAAACTAGCCAATCCTAACAAAGACAAAGGTCAAGGACAAAAACAGGGTCTGTTAGGCAGCTATCAGACTAGTCTAGGTAAGAGACTGTGGCGGCTTGGAACAACGTGGTAGGGGCAGATGGAATCATAAACATATTTTGAAGGAACAACGTGGTAGGGGCGGATGGAATCATAAACATATTTTGAAGGTAGAGCCCAGAGAATTTTGTGACAGCTTGGATGTGGGGTTTAAGAGAAAAAGGGGAAGCAAGTTTGACTTCATGGTTTTGGGGCTGATACATGTAAGGCTGGGAAGACGGCAGATGGAACCAATTTTAAGGAGTAAATTGGAACGGAGCTGCACATGTGTAAATCTGAGGTGTTTATTAAATAGTCTCTGAGTGAAGATGTTTAATAGAAATGTTGATACATAAGTTTGAGGCTCAGGGAAGATGTCTGGCCAAGGATATTAATTTGGAGTCATCAGTGTATAGATTGTAGTCAAATCATGGAATTGGATGAAATCAGGTGGGAGTGAGTTTAGTTACAGAACAGGCCAAGGGACTCAGCTCTGGGGCACTTCAACTTTAGGAAGTTGGGAAAATGGGGAGAAATCGTTAAAAGTGGCTGAGTAGGAGCAACCAGTGAGAAAGAAAGAAAAGCAGGGGAGTGTGGTGTGCTGGAAAGTCTGGCCTGCTATGCTTACAAGTGCAGAGCTGCACGCTAAAGATCAGGGCCCACAAACGACTCTCAGGCGCAGGAGAGAGGCGCCAACTAGCGAGGTTATGACGAGCGCGGCCCGGGAGCTCACCAGAGGGCAGGAGAAGGCTTACAGGACATACACTGCCCTGGATGGAGTGCTGGTGGGTTGGGAAACATTTGGATTCTATTCCTTGAAACAGAAGGGGAGGAGGGAGATAAAAATATTTTTTGAACAACAGTGATAATCAATTAGTTCTATGTTTGAAGAGAGGACTGATGGCAGGGAGAAGGGTGCATTTTGGGGAGAAGATGAAAAATTTGTAGGTATTTCTGAGACAGTAAACTAAGCTAGAGATGGATCAGTCGTCTCAGTGGCCTTGGGACTGATACCCCAGCCACTTTCCTCAGCCTGGGGTTAAGAGGTGGACTGAGCGCCATCTTCCACTCCAGACCTAGTCGTCACCCGCGCCCTTGATCTCAGCAGGCGGCACCATTATGGACTCAGTTGCTTGTTAGTTATTTGTTCTGCTTCCCTCTCCCTCTCCCCATGTCCAGCCACTCACCAGTTGCTGAAGATTTTTGGCCTTCTAAATCTCTCTGAAATCCCCCTCTGTTTTACTACCACCATCTTCTTTCACCTAAATCACTCCAATGGCCTCCTTTTCAAAACAGTCCTCGAGAGGGTCTCCTCTGTTCCTAGACCACACTAGAGGCAGTGGGGAGCTTTTAAAACAGAAACCTTTTCACATCACTTTCCTGCTTGCCTTCCTCCTGGGTGGAAGTCCTGAGGCTGACCTTCAGGGCTCTGCACGGTCTGACTGCTGCCAGCTGTGCCCCAAGAAACTGTTCCTGAATGAATGAACGAACGAATGAAGACAAAGACACCGTCTCACTTTGGGAAAGCTGCTTAAACGTCCTAAGCCTTGGTTTCTTCATTGGTAAAATGAGAATGATAATATTTCCCTTACTGGAATGTTGCTAATTCAAACAGTAAAGACACCACATTAATTGCACGTAAGTGTTTAGCATTGCAGGACACATCTGATCATTGTGAACGAGCCAAATCAGCACTTAGCACAGAACTTGACTCAATAAACCAAATACGTCCAATACATATTTGTTGTTCATGATAAATCAGCACTTTGGGGTTGTAATTATTATGGGTTATTTTTTATTTCTATACAAGAACCTACAGAACTGCACACCCGTTTATCTGATGCTGAACAGGCAGTGTCATACTGCTGCTCAAAAAATCTTCATTGTCTCCAATGACTACGAAATCATATTCCTCCTCTTAGCATTCACGGTTCCAGTCCTTTCAATATGTTAATCTATGCCCCTGAGAAATTCAACTCAAGTAAAATATATTGGGTCTCTCCAGTATTCCCAGAGCTGTCAGGTGCTAGATATTTAAATTTAACTACTGAAGCCTTGCAGGCTGCAGAATACCCAGGCGCTGCTGCATTTAAGGAAGCAGAGTCCACACTGGCCAAAATGTCACTAGAAAAGGATTCTGTTCTCTACACAAGTCTCTCAGAGGGTGTCGACAGGAATCCTGATCCTGGAAACACATCCCATCACCTGTGGCACCCACGTAGGCGCACCGCTCAGATCTTCCTTTAACAGCACCTCCTGCCGGGCGCAGAGCTGACTGGCAGCCTCCAGCTGACACAGCTGTGGACTCTACGCGCTGTTCACACGGAGGCCACGCTTTCGTCGGGCTGCACTCAGCCAGTGAGTGGCCAGGTGGGGGTCCTGGAGTGGTGCGCTCAGGGCAAGGCTCCTCCGCATAAGCCTCCTTCCTTTCTCAGGTGTCAGATCCACATCACGATCACGGTCTGAAGGTTCTTTCTGCCCCCTCTGCTCTCTCCTCCTTTGTCCTTCACTGGCACTTCTCCCAACAAGTCTTTGGCACACCTAATCCTATCTTAGCATCTGCTTCTTAGAGCACCCAAACTAATACAGGTGGTACCAAGAGTGGTCCAAGACAACAATCGGTAAAATGGGACTTAAATCAGACAACTTAACATGGCACTGTGTTCTCAAAAGGGAAAATATGTCTGGGAACCAAGAGTGGAAGCAAAAGTAGCCCCATGGTCTGTCTTTCTTAATGACTCACTGTGGGGCTATGTGCTTTATACCCCACCAGCCTGGGCTCTGCAGGGTCAGACGTCCTAGTCCCCAAAGGAGGTGAATGTGCAAGGTGACCTGGCAAGGCTCCCGCTCAACTACGAGCTATGGTCGTCACCGATGAACTTTGAGCTCTTTGTGTTCAGGGCCAGCAGGGAAGAAGAGAAGTCACCAACCTATCTTTCATATTGCTAAAGTTCTTCCGGTCAACATCTTTCACAAGGAGTCTCATGGAGTTTCTCAATTCCCACAGGATGCTATATTCATGACATTTAAATATCCCTGTGTATATGAAACTCTTCTACAGTATTACACACCTTCAAATATAAATAATGTATAAAGCAAAGGAAAAGAGTTGTGACGTGTACCAACCAACGGGAAATTCATGTTATATAATATATCCTAATTTATTCCTATACTTCTACCCCATTAGTATTTTTAAAGTTTCTTTATTGAAAGCACTTATTTATTAATATAAATTCACATGTCCTTGTAAACTTGGCAAACTTGTTCCAGAAGATGTTTAAGAGCATATTTCCCAACACATCCTGGCAACGACATTACCCTGAATAGAGAGGGCTTCCTTGTGTTAAATGCTACTCATTTTCTGCCTTAAGAAAATCTAGTTCTCTCATTTGCCAGCCCCAGCTAGGAAAACCCACTGGGTCAAAATCATCAAGGCAACAAACAGTTCTGTGCCAGTTCCCCAGGTCTGGGAGGGGCCGTATTTGTCCAGTCCCAGAGGAACATGACAGGATTAAATGCCGCATTTAGTTTTAAATGTGCTGGCAACGATTCCAGGTAGACTCCTGCCCCTATTTTCTCCTGCAAATATCCAGCTTGAATGAGCCTCTGACATTTCAAGAGGAATATTTCTTTACACCAAGTACAGCACTTACCATATTAATCATGATGGATTGAGCAACTGTCCTCCTTATCTGTAGACGACGCTGAGCACTTGATGCTCCAGACTCCAAACTCAACTCCAAATGTCTCTGCTAACACAGTCTTCTGTGATGGAGATGTTAATTGATCCCAATAGTGAAATTAGGTTCTCCTTAAGATTGGAGATCTACTTAAAAAAAATTAGAGTGACCTTAATCTTCCAATAAATATGTGTAATCCTTGTCTTGAGACCACATGATGGAAGAGACTTTCCCATTTTCAAGGTACTGGCTCCACTCTGCAGGAGTCATATTGCCTGTATCATTCATATTGCATGTTGCCACAGTTATTGTTTTAGCAAAAACTGCACAATGGAACCTCACCATGTGCTCCTTGCTAATGAGGAGAACTCAAAATACTGTCCAAAAGGACTTACCATGGCAACTATCAGAACGCCTCACTGGAAAGCTGGAATCCCTATAATAAAATGATCAGAATCTCAGCATTTGTTCATTCTGCAAGTATAGCCCCGGTATGAGATGAATGACCCTATCTTTGCCTCAAAGGACTTCCAGTCTACTGCGTAATTTTTAGAGTAGAGAAAAAAGTCACCAAGGTCTCCCCTAGAGAGCTGGATGAAGTATTTCCTAAAATGAGTCAATTAATTTTGCATTCTGTTGTGTGTATCCACATGCAGGTATGCATGGATGTGGCCTAATTTTGTTCCACTAAACATTTACAGCTCCTAATTTTTTTTGACATTTAAAAAAATTGAAGTATAGTCACTTTACAATGTTGTGTCAATTTCTGATGTACAGTGTAATGCTTCAGTCATCCATATATGTACATATATTCCTTTTCATAGTCTTTTTTTTCTTTCATTTTAGGCTACTACAAGATATTGAATATGTAGAGCTCCTAATTTTCATGCTCACCAGACTTCTGATCATTTTCTTGCTCCTTCCTTTTTTCCCTCCCAAGAATCTCCCTCATCTCATGCAAAAAAAAAAAAAAAAAAGTAGGTTCAGGTTAGTTTGCTAATGTGACTTACTTCAAGCTATGATCAATGCTGGGTAGCCTTCTTATTTAAAAAAGCATCTTCATCAGCAAGGTTTGCTCTTGCACCCACATGACAGAGCTTCCTACACTCCAGGACAAGAGCCCACCTGGCTGTCTCCTCATTCTTAAACTCCATTCTTCTGGCAATTCCTGTTTTTATATTCTTTTGAGTCTGCTGGTTTGAATTTTATCGTGCATCACAGTCACGTGGAGGGCTTGTTAAAATGCAGATTACTGGGTTCCACCCCCAGAATTTTGGATTCATTGGGGTGGAGTGGGCCCGAGGGTCTGCACTGGTAACAAGTTCCTGGATGCTCCTGCTGCTGCTGCTGCTGGTCCAGGGATTACACTTTGAGAAGCACTGTTTAGGTGCTGGGTCTCAGTGATGGCAAATTAGAACCACCTGTTGACATATGACACAAACGCACGTGGCCAAGCTCCTCCCATGACCAAGTAAATCAGAAGCTCACAGGGGTGGGTCTGGGTGCTGGGTTTTTAGAGGCTCCCAGGTGGTTCTAATTGTGACCACGTGAGAATGGCTGCAACAAGACAAGCTGGTGCTACACAGAGATGCAAGTTGGGGTGAGATTTGAAGAGAAAGCCTTGACAAAACCTCCCCGAGAGATTTTTGTCTTTTATGTGAGAAACGAGTATTTTAATATTCTAGGAACGTTGAAAATATTTCAAAAGCCATTCCACATTAGTATATGTCTCATGTTCCTGGAATTCGTTGGTATTCAAATATTAAATAATTATAGTATGTAGTCATAATAACAGGAGTTTCTGATTTCTGCAATGAGTGGCCAGACATTCAGCTGAGCATTTTTTTATGGCAAGAAAGGTGCCATTTTCTATGAGAGAATAAAAATTAGCAGGATATGAGCACAGCAAGAACTTAATAACTGGCATGGGAAACTTACTCATCATCAAGAGAGTAATTATCAGGAGACTCAGCTGAGTAAAACTAGAACTTCTCAGTGAATCCGAGCTATAAATAAGTTTGGGCTTAGAAACACATCCCTCAGTTCCTGCGTAGTCAACTGAATATTTCACGTTTTTCCCTAAGATGTTTGATTTTGAATATAGATCTGGCCTGAATTTTTTTTAATACTCTGATTGTAAAATTTAGAAGCAGTACATTAGATTTCATTCCACAAGACCACTCAGATTCTGTGGGGAGGATTCAGGTGACTGTGGCCTGTTTCCAGGCAGGACTCCATTCTTTTCGGATGTGTTTTCCTGGTGCTCAGCACAACACTTGGCATATAACAGATGCTTCACAAATACTGACCAAGTTTGACCGAATATTGTCACCCTATTTCAGAGAAAATAAAGGTGTTCTTTTCTTTTCTCTTTAAGTTTAATTCTTAGTCTTAACAAAGAAATAGATGTGTATAGTTAAAAAGTCACCTGCTTGTTCCAACCCCGACTCCAACTTACCCCTCAACTTCTGCTCTCCAGACATAGGCATTTTCTGCTTGGCCAGCTATTTCTTCTGACATTTCTATACATATTTGTGCATCAAAGTCCCCACAAAAAATTGTCTTGATAGAAAATAATCTATTTTGATTAAAAAAAAAAGCCGAGTTCAGTAGAAACTTGACAGGTAGCAACTGCCCAGATGAATTCAGTCACATGAGCTCCCTGAGGGCTTGAGTACTTGGGTTGTCTACGCAGAGGAGTTAGTTGTGGGGCGGTTCACGTGGGAGTTACCAGGTGGCATCTGGGCAGGGACTGATGGAGATCTGTAAACCCATGCATATTTGGGGTAATTGGTTTGATACCTGAGGCTAGGCTAGTTGCTGAAGTAGTGTGCGGTGTGTCCTTCCAGAGCACAGGAATCTCAAAGAGCTGTTGTTAAAGGATCTCTTGGTGATCCTAACACTGAAGATGCTGACCCTGAAAGTGCAAAGAATAACATAACGAGGCTGATCCAAATTCAGAAATGAGCCAAGGCAGAGAAAAGATGTTTGTTTCCTATTTTAAGTTCTACAAGGAGAAAGTAAGCGTTGTACTCTTGATAAATTTTTTTACATTGAAATAAAGCTCTCAATGTATCTAATGTTTTACATTTTAATGTACTAAATACCTTTACTGTTACTTCATTTCCCCATACATTTATAACTGACAGTGAGAGTTTAAATGTCGTATATTTTAAAGGTCATGGAACAATCATATTATGAATATTAACTCATCTGTTGTGAGGATTGCTTTGCACAGTTTCAGCTCACACAGATTTTTAAGGTCCCACACCCCAGTGCAAGGTGAGGACAGCCTGTAAATGATGCTGAGAAAGGCACGTTTCTTCTCTTTTCCCTATATCTGCCTGCCCTCTGCTGGAGGTACCAAAGATTGTGAAACTATCCAAAGACCATCAAGCTACACCTGGGTAGTTCCCAGCCTTTCCTTCTGTCCTGCCCTCCCCCTCACTGCCTCCTGTGAGGGATGCAAAGCATTCCTATCAGAAGCACGAAGGATATTTCAATTCACAGTTGGATTAGTTGTTTTACCCACACATGGAGAAGACTCTGATGCCAATAAACAATCACCAGTCACATAACTAAATTGTCTTAATTTAATTCTGTGCTCAAGTGTAACCTTCAAGCCTATGGTTGGAAGAAATGTTGGAAGTTACTCAGTCCAACTGTGGGCTAATGCCGGCATAACTGACGTTTTTGCTTTTACTGCATAACTAAAGTTTTTTTTGCTATGTTACAAATGTGAGCCTAGACTGGGCTTTTGATTATGCCAAATTTCACTTGACATTTTCTTCTCTTGTTCAGTTTCTGCAACTGTCCTCACTGCCTGGACGATTACTCCCAGAACTATTTAGTATTAATAGCTACTTAAAGATGTCTCTTGTGACTGAAATGGAAAACTATATAGCCTTTCAGTGTCTTCCCAGAACTTTCAGATCTGCTTCCAGACTGTTTGAGTCCCAAGATATTGCATTAATCTCGTCTTTCACACTCAAGCCCACACCCACCCCCACAGTTCACATTCCCGTATACAGCAATACAGCTCTGTCCAGTGATTTGGCACTGGCTAAACCTACCGGAATAAATGAATACATTTTTCGTTAAATGTGTGAATAAAATGTTTCTTTTCTTTAGTGAAGAAACCAAGATTAGTATCACTCAATAATGAGAATAAGAATTGTGTGGGCAAACTGTATTATCTATAAACTTACAGAAGACTCTTAAGAACTCTCTTTGCTTTTGTCAAAAGGAGGAGCAGATTATAGAAAATTTAGGAAGATGAACTTTTAAAATTCTTTCATCTGCTTATCTCATATTTCTGTTGCTTTCAAAAGAATATATGTATTTATTTATGTAAAATATAGTCATGTTAAGACAATAAAGGGAATAGATTTAAAAGAAGTTAGAAGTCGTTGTCTTAAATCTCTGAGACTCTGAATTATATTTTTTGTTAGAACTCTGGGACAGTGGATGGTCATTTAGTTTCAGATTCTTCAGCAGTAACTCCTAAAAATATAAGAACAAGGTAGTGAATGTTTTTATTTCCAACCTGTCAGTAGGTTTGCTTGTAAATTAACATACAATGTGGCTTCCTATTACACAGGGGATTTTCTTGCAAGAATTCTGCAGACATTGCTGACCATAAGGAAAGTTATTATTATTCCCATTTTACACTGACAGAAACAAAGACAAATGGAGAAATGAACAGAAATGCTTAATTTTTACAATAGATCTGGGAAAGAACACTAGAGCCATTGATTTATTTTACTTCATTAGAGTAGTGTTTTTTTTGTTGTATATTCCCTAAAATAGTTTTGAAAAATAATGTACCTTCTCACACATTTTTGTTACCATCTGAAATTTTTCCTCATAAATTTCAATAGTAACAAAGGATGCAGTCATCTTATAATACTGACACTTAACAAAACCTACTACATCACTCAGTTGGGGAGGGGGAGATTTCCCTCCTAGCTCTCTTGAGTTTTCTTGGCTGGTTTAATAACTAAATTGACACAAGACAGATTAACAGGAAAAAAAACTTAATTCATACATACGGAGGTCTTTAGAAACATGACATAAGAAGTAGACAAAGCAGGCAGCTTTTATGCTTTTTAGAGAAAGAAACAATAAATTGTGAGGAATTGACAGAACAAAGGAACTGGGGCCTGGGTGCTCAATCAGCGAAAAATCCAAGCAGAGTTTGGGACTGCGGTAGTAAATTAGCAGAGAAGCAACAAGGTTTGTTTGTACAGGCTCTGCGGCCCTGAGTCCCCTGGCCCTGGTGATGAGGCTGTCCCTCTGCCTCCACACGCAGGGAGAGCACCTGTCACATGGGAGATTTATTTCCTGCTCTCAGGGAGACAGAGAGGTGGCGGGTCAGAGTGTTCCTGCACTGGCTGTTTCTCAAACAACATTAATTCAAAATAATCAACATGCCATTGTGGCATATTTTGGGATGGCCTGCCCTGAGACCTGACCACTCTTTTTAATGTACACAATATAATCCAAATACCAGAGTAATTTTACATGCACTATCATTGCTTTTAAAAACACGAACGTGCTATTTATGACAACATGGATGGACCTTGAGGGCATTATGCTAAGTGAGATTAGTCAGAGAGAAAGACAGATAATGTATAATCTCACCTATACGTGAAATCTAAAAAAACCCGAACTCATAGCTACAGACAACAGAGTGGTGGTTGCCAGAGGTGGGGGTGGGGTGGGGTGGATGGAATGGGTGAAGCTGATCCAAAAGTAAACTTCCAGTTATGAAATAAGTCATGGGGATATAACGTACAGCATGGTGACTATATTTAATAATACGGTGCTGCATTTTTGAAAGCTGTTAATAGATCTTAAAAGTTCTCAACAAAAGAAAAAAAATTGTAACTATGTATGGTGATGTTAACCAGACTTATTGTCGTGATCATTTCACAACATATATGAATATCAAATCATTGTTGTACACCTAAACCTAATATAATATTATATGTCAATTATCTCTCAATAAAAAATATGAACAGTCTCTTTTTTAACATTAGGAAAGTTTACATTACCTGTTTCCCCTTGAACTTATATTTCTATTTTACTTTACCCACAGATTTTTTAAATTTAAAATTTAACTGTTAATTTAAAATTTAAAATTAATTTAAAAATTAATCATCCCTCTCATATTCTTCTGCAGCAAAAATTATGTATATGTTGAAATTTAAAATGTATGTTTCCTGTATTGGTAAATCCGAGTGTTTAAATGTTCTTCTTGATTAATTTTTCATCACCATTATTAGTACACAATTAAACATACCAACATATACACATTATTAAATTTGATAATTCTTGAACATAGTAAGTAAAATGTTACTGGAACTGTATCTCTTAATGAGATGGATGGAGCCTTTTTCCCTTTTAATTAGTCCATATGCCAATAGGTATATATTACTTATTGCTAGACAATGACTGGATTTTGTGGAAACTGACAGCAAAAACTGATTATTGGCTACTTTTACATGTAGAATTTGTAAAAATTGTATTAATGACTGCTTACAGTAGAATCCACACATATTCTTGTTAAGCTTATATACATCTAATAAGTACATCACAGGGTAGAATAAACCGGTAGAAAGTGGCTGAGCAAGAAGAATAAGCAGGAAATGCATCCAAGTAAAACATGAATATAGAGTCTAATTATGTTTATGAAATAGCTTATATCGCAAATTTTCTCTTATGAGTCTGGATGAAAATACAAGAAGATATAAAACCATTACCTCACTTCCAAAATATGTTCTGGATTCTTGGAAATGTCACACTGATCAGCAGATAATTGTGGGAATTTTATCTATTCTTTCTTGAAATCCTGCAGCTGAGACTCAAGCCAGTGTTTTGACCCTGGAAACGTCCCTGTTGACATTTACACCCGGGAATCAGGCCCCATGGCAGGATTCCAGATGGGTGAGAAGTTTGCCTTATTTTGTGAAGTAGGGTAACAGTGACTGGAACAAGGAGCCGGGAAAGACTGGGCACATTGCCTCGCTCAAGCAGGCACTCTCAGGCAGATCAGATGTAAGCAGGAGGAATACAGAATTTGAGGACCTAGAAATCAGTCCCCTTAAAACTGTCTAAACATGATCAACTCCCACAATTCCCACACCAGCCCTAGTCTGAAGACCACAGGGGACGCCTCTGAAATACACACTGTGTTTTAAGTTTGAACTTTTTAGAAAGCCCAGAGACACAAAGCCAGGCTAGGAAGCTCACCAGGCTGCTCTGCGCAAGACCTTCACACAACCTTGAATCGTTACGTGACAACAGCCTTCCTCGGGGAACTGCGCCCTTTCTGACAAATACGGAACCAGCAGGGCAGGCAAACAAATCCTGTCGGAAGACTGTTCAGGGCTTTTAATACCTTCGCATCTTGGAGTGAAAGTTTATTTTCATAAGGAAAAAAAAGTTGTTACATGTGAACTGGCTGCCCAAGTAAGATAATAAAAACCATAATGTAATGGGAAAATTCAGACAAGGTCATAGTCATCTTAAAAATGTATTTATGTAGGAATCCTTGAGGGGCTGGAGTTCAGTTGTTAAATGAGCATTCTTTTAGCCATCTAGAGATGAAATAAATAAACTCTCATGCTATTTTTCTAAAGTATTTAATAAATACGTATATTATACTCTAGAGTATCATAATTGTGATTAATGATTTTTAAGTCATGAGAGAACATTTCTTTATATTTTAATGATTTTTTTGCCTCTATTTTTTAAATTGCCACAATTTATAAGGTGTTTGTAACTTTTTTTTGGAAAAATTCAATCCAGTAGCAAAATGAACAAAATAGACAACCGGCCCTTGAGATCTAGGAAATGTAGACAGATGGATGTGTAGGTGTTACTCATTAATAAGAAGGTGGAATTCTGCTGGAA